AGATATTATCATTCATGTGAATATATAGAGTCTGTGTTGATTGAATGGATTTCCCTACCTGACACTGAAGCGCCTGCATGCTCCTATGACTGTGACCTGTTCACAAGCATTGACGTGAACCACTGTGTCCACAGCACCCAGGATGATGGTGGAGTTACGACACTTTTCAATACTCACAGACCTGAAATAGTGGCAAAAACAGATAAATCTTTAATCGAAGAGATTATTTGTCATTAATTCACTAGTTGATAACTGTGCTCTCAAAGTGTTAATGTGTCTGCTAATTTCTACATTTAAATAAATATTTGTGCATTTAGGTATGGACTCTTTGTAGTGATGTTTTTAGGTATTAATATTCTACAAAGAGACAAAAGGTACTTTACCTAATAGGGGACAATAAATATAAATAGGCAAAATGACACCTATGAACTTTGACTGTAGCCATCTCTAGAGTACCAGAACTCTGAAAAAAAGTTATACAGTACTAAGTTAAGGTTGTTATTTAATATACACTCCAAACAGTACTAATGACAATAAGTACATATCATATTCCATATTCTTAATAGCCAAGGCTGAAAATGTGTGTTTGTACATCCATATCTTTCAAATTACTGCATGCAATAACTTTTTCATTGGTGTATTCACAGAATGTTGAAAGTGTCAAGTACCAATTATGGCTTCTTCAACAAAATAATTTACTTTCTATTATCTTCAGTTATAATATACCCTTAACATCTGTAAATCTAAAATACTCCATACCTACCCGTGAGATTGTCTGCTTGCAGACTTGAGACATAATTATAACTTTGTTGCTAAAATAAAAAAATTCAAATTGATGAAAATTCATTAAAATTTTCAAATCTGATCATAGGTATGATTATGAATATAGAAAATGACTTATTTTACTGTATCAGATCAATATTAAAAGGATTTCAAACAATGAAAAAAAATTATCAAAATTCTAGCAATCAACTCAGTAAATAATACAACTTCTCTACAAAAGCTCTGTTATTTATCATCATACCCCATGATATGTTCCCTTGGGACCAGGTGGGCATTTGTGGCTATCTTTCCTCTCTTGCCCAAGTTCTCCCCTTTGCTTTCCTTGTCCTCAGCTGGCAAGTATGGAAAATGTCAGGAAAATATCATAAATACATGCAAACTCTATAGCCTGCCATGACAATGTTAATATTTACTTAGTCTGACAAGGTAAAATAAATGAAAAAAAAATCCAACATGTACATGTAAAAACTAGGCATACATGTTATTAAACTACACAAAACTAACCATATAGTCATATTTCCCATAAGAAATGATTACAACACTGAAATCTTCACCACAGATATGCCCTCATGCAAAATGATCTACTAGTCTTTCAAACACCTTATAATGAAATGAAAGTAAAACCTCCCAGTCAGAAACTGAAGATAAACATCACCCAGTGTAAACCCTAATAAGTGCATGTAGGTGGTCATCTTTACTTTCAAAATGAGATATGAACTAAGCTGTGGAACTAGACAATAGCATATAATGTTAAGTTTAAAGCAAGAACAGCAGTCCTATACCTGCCATTGGCCATGAAAGTCTCCTTCCAGTGGCAATACATGACCCAATACCAAAGGGATTGGTTGTTAAGGTTGCCCGCAACCAAGACTGGAGCATTCTAAAGGAAAACGTCCCAGTGATCTGAAATAACCAGACATGCATATGCTAGCTATAGTCTATTGGTCTTAACTTTAAAAACAAAAAAATTAGTCTATTTTGAATCATGAATCAGAAGTTGTCAATTCAAACAAGGACATTTGGGGTGTTTCACAAAGAGTGAGAATGGACAATGCTTGAGACTGCTACATTTCATAGGACTACAACAGATGCCATAAACATTTTATCAGTGATGCCCCAAAAAGAAAATTCAGATTTTCTGAAAAGCAGGTTTAGTTCTTGCCACAGAGTATGTTTAAGTGAAGCATTAACAATTATGAACCTTGAAAAAAAATTGATATCCAAATATGTGAGGCATTTGTAATCATTCTTGAGTTAATTCTAGTTATTAACACCCTTTCCCATCTAACTATAACATACAGTATCTCCACTGCAGTTGTGTATTAAACACCATATCCCCAGTCTGTCATGCATCCTATCATGCCAGATTTATTTTTACCTTTGAGAATCCACTCTTAGCTTTCACAGCCTGTGGTGTTAGTGCCAGTTCATGTATTGGTGTCACAGCCCTGGGGAAAAGAAAGACGTGATGAACCTTAACACATTCAATGTACAGTGTATTATGTAGAAATATGCCAATAAAGCAACAAGTTTGAATGCTGCCAGGTGTAATTATTAAATGTGAAGTATCAACTGAAAATTTAATGAAGGGTGGGTTTAAGAGACACCTACTTGCTTCTGTCAATAGACCCTGCAATGATGAAACTGAGTGCCTCCACTGCCTCCATACTGAGATTCACATCACTGCCTGCAGTACCATATGCATCTGAATGTAATATTTTTTTTCTTCAAAATCATTCTTAATAATGTATAATTATTAATAACAGGATACTACAGTACTTCAGAGCACAGCAATTTATTCAGATTGGGCTTTTAAGAAAGATATCAAAGCTGTTGAATAAATACAAAATGTAACTTGTAAGTTTTAACTTTTAAAAAATTGAACAGTCAATACTATTTAGCAAATAACCTGCACATCAAAAGTACTAATGACTCATTTTAGATGGCCGTGCTGTTCACCTTCTACATACCTGGCTCAATAAGTAATTCCATTAATTCATTCAGGTGGTTTAACACAAAGGTCAGGTGACTGTGTTCATCCAGTGCCTTTAAGAGAAAAACGTTGGAAGTACAAACATTGTGTGATGACTAAACTATTTTCATGTATATATTAAATAATAAGTTAAAATATCTATACACTTTGTTATGGAAAGTGCCTTTGTTATGGAAAGATCTCTTTTCATAAATCTACTACACTATACTTAGTAAAAAAGAAAAAAAAAACATGAAACAAAGTAAGGGTCTATATGAATGTTAAAGGAACAGGTCAGGAATTCAGCACCTGAAAAGGTGACAAGAAATCTATCCCATGTTTTTACCACACAAATTAGCTGATGCCTAAAAGTAACTTTTGACAAACAGCACTCCTTGTGATGGCATTTGAAATTTGCTTTGTTTTTTACACACCAAGTTTTAATTAGAACTCTGTTCTAGTTCTTGACAAAAACCTCATCAGAAGTCCTACCTTAGATGAAGATGGTGTTGACCTGCCCTCTAGCTCTGGGGATCTTGATCTACTTGGCCATCTTTGGAACTAGAGTTAAGACTTTTTAAACATTAAAACAAATATAATCATATACGTTAAAAATTTTTTTGACAGCTTAGCACTTAAAAGTATCAATATCTATTAATAAACATATCATAAAATTGAAATTTTAGTTGTGCATTTACCTATTCCAAAGTAACCATTTACAAATCCAGGCAACACAAGATTTAACAGATCAGACTGATGAATGAAAAATATATATTTGTAACCTGAAATATGATTTTAAATTAACACCAACCAAAGGATACTCCTCATTCAGTACCATAGATGTCCGCAAGTTGATTTTGTGAAGTTGCTGTATGTACAGTAACAGCACAAATTTCAGGGTGTCCACTGTCAGCTGTGCCCGCCATTTGTCTGTCAAAAAATTCATGCATATAATGTTTAAATATACATTCTAATTCACACAATTTTTTTTTTCACATTTAAAAATTGGAGAAAGGCGTATTTGATAAATAATATATACAAGATTGGAAAAGGAATTAAAGCAGTGTCTTTGCAAACAAGAAATCAAGCAATAAAGTCAATGAAATATATAGAAGCTTACCACGATCTGCTGATGTTTTACACTTGGCTAACTGATTGTAAAGAGCAACCTTTTGTCCTGATGGCATGTCACTCAGTAGTAAATAACCCTCAAAATACCTACAAAACAAACATAATTGTGCTTTAACAAATTTTCATAAATATCTTAGTTCACTTAATTAGTAACAAATATTCAGGGTGTCTTTTGCTGAGTCAAGGCTCTTGGAAGTTTCACAAGTTTGAAGGTTGGGAGAAATGACAGAGCTCATTTGACCCATGTAATGTCTAATCAAACTTCATATGGCCTTACCATAGTCAGCTATGTCTTTTTAAAACAAACCAACACAAAAATTGTATGTTGCCATGAAACTCTACCTGATAAATCGCATGTTAAATACTTACATCCATGCTAGGTCTTCTGATAGCTGCAGTTTGTTGCAAGCTATGTGCTTCCACACTGAATAGCTGAAAATAAAACATTACAATATCTTAAAAGCCAATTATAAATACAAATGAAGAATCCATTTTAAGTTGGAAAGAATTTTATGATCTATTTACACTAAAGGCAAATTATGAGTCACTCAAGATCAGATATAACCAAGTTGGTTAAAATGTACATGATTTGACAATTATATGGCTAAAATAAAGTTTGAGTCTCTTTTTAAGTATTTGCATGCCCTATAAGAGCTAAATTATTCACTTCATATTTTCCTCAAACATGGTGAGGGTCAACAAAATGAGCAAAAAAATTTCATCAGTAACTTTCCTGTCAGAAATTGAATCAAAATCTAAAAATAATTTTGGAAGGTCAGTAAGCATCATGGAAGGGTACTTAAGCTCGAGGGATTTTTGGTTGGATGGTTGGGCACAATATAGACAGGCAAGCAATGGCACCTGAGCTCTTCTTTCAAGGTAATCAAAGACCTCAAATACAGAACTTGTGAAAAAACTATAAATCTCCCAGTATTTTATTTCATTTAAAAATTATTTATTTATTTATATACATTATATAATGATATTTCGGAAAGCAAAGAAAATGATCTGGTTATAGTTGTTAATATGATCAAAAGATTAACAA